TAATCATAAAATTAAAAAGGCGCACGGATATGGAAATTTGTTAAAGGAATATCCGGCGCAGCATAGACGTATGTATGTATGTACATGTGTATTAGGCTACGCTGCTTATACTATGTATGTGTAGACATATAACGTATAGAGTAATACAAAAGCGCATATATGTAGATATATGTATGTATGTACATACTTGCAAAAATGTAGAAACATATAAAGAAAAATTTAGTAAAAAAAAAAAAAAAGATTTTTTTTAAATTAACTGCAAAAAAATAAAATTAAAAAGCGCTATGCTGATGCGTATTTAACGTTTGTATGTAAATATGCATGCATATTGTATGTATGTGAGAGATGTGCGCAACAAGTGCATCAGAAGAGAGAATAGAAATCATACTATGCAAATGAAAGTCATTTTACTTCAAAAACACTAATAACAAAAAAAAGGCAACTTAAATAAAATCAACAAATAATTTTCTGTGTGTGCGTTTAAGTAATTGATAAAACATTTCAACAACACAAAAAAAAATTATTATCTTTTCGAAACCTTTTTTTTTAATATTTAAAGCTTTTGTTAATTTTTTTAATTTAAACTAAATTTGATATTTACGCAGTCATTTTACAATTCCTTAAAAAGTTTAACATTTATAATTCTGATTTGTATACACGTTCGACCCAAAAAAAACTATATATATATTTTAGCAATTGTGCATACATTTTACTTGTTTTATATTTTAAGCAAACTTCAATTCAACAACAAATTAGAAACCCAGCTGTGTACCAAATAAATATAGCGCAGTCTCATTAAAATGTAAACTGTAAAAAAAATAATAAATTTTATGCATAAAAAAATATATGTATATATACACACAAAGTAATAAGGAAAGAAATTTATCAAAAAAAAAAACACAAAAAAGTCGATTTTTCAATTTAACCTCAAAGTCGTTACAACCAGCAAGTTTTCTTCAAATGCCGAAACTAATATTATAATTTATTTTTAATATTTTTTGTTTAACAAATAAATCACATATAGCTCTCATTTTTTGTAAAATTTATTAAGATTATAAGCAAATTAGCAAGTTTCACATGCAGAGTAAAAAAAAAAAATATTAAACATATTCTTCTTATATAAAGTAAGAGAACACATAAAAATTAAAGGTTCTTCTTCAACCCTTATTTTAAGTTGTAACTAAAGAAGTAAGGTTTTCGTGCCTTTCAAAAAGTGTGAAAAAAACATATTAAAGTTAAATACAAATATGTAAAAAAAAGATAAAAATGTAATTGTAAAAAACAATAAAAAAAATTAAGAAAATGAAAATTAATGAAAAAAATATGTTCACGCTCTTATTATGAGAGCATAAATGGAATGCAAAACAAAAAAAAAAAAGTAAAGCAAAAGGAAACTTTCTGTTGGGCAAATAAATAAATAAAAAAATAAGTTATAAATGTCTGTAGCTATAACTATTGCTCCTAAGATTCACATAAGAAGCGGTAAAAGCATGTTTGAAATGAAAAAGAAAAATTTTATAAAAAATACCGTTCAATAAATACGAAATTTATTTAATAAAAAATAAACATCAATAAAATTGATTACATTGAAAACAAAAAAAAAATAATAATAACAACTGGAAAACAAATAAAAACAAAAAAATCAGCAACTCAAAAAGTACATAAAATACTTGCACTTGCAACTAATAAGGGCATGACAAAAGCCAGCTACAATTATTTAATGAAAATGTCTAATATAAAATTTAACAGCAGAAAAAGGCTGTTATAACACTGAAGATAATAAAAAATAATATAATGAATTAACTCAAAAAAAAAAAAAAATATATATATGATTAATTACAAATAAAATAGAATTTCTAAATTCTTTACATTAGTTTAATTAATTTCTGTTTAATTTCAGTTTTCCTATCACATAATGTAAAAAAAGAGATTAAAATGAAATCGAATTTGAGGAACAATTATTTTATTGCTAAAAATGTCATATTTTAAATTCAGTAGATTATGTTTGTTCTCTATTATTGAATTTTGTAAAACAAAAACTAAAAATAAATTGCTCGCAATTTATTAAAACCGAAAAAAAAAAATTAAAAAGAATTGCAAAATATATAAAAAAAAATTAAAAAATATCAAAATTGCGTGTATAGAACGCCTCACAGTCAAGCCAATCAAGTTTTCGGCGGAAGAACTCAACCATGCAAAATCCTTCAAACAATGCAACAAACAAAAAAAAAAAGAAATATAAATGTAAATTGTACTTTCTTTTGCTCCCCGAAACATGTAAACGTTTTCAATTTTCACCCTGACTTACATATAAACTGAATCAAAAAACTACTATAACAGTGTAAGAAGGGCAACAAATAGCAATCAAGTTGAAAACAGCAACAGTTATAAAAAAAAGCAAGGGCATCTGATAAAATTCGATTGAAAATGAATAAAGCTGCGTAGAATTTCTCAATATAATGAAGAAATTCACGGAAAATAAAGCAAAAATTATGTGTTTCATTTCTTTAAAGTTAACTGGAAAAGTCGAAAAAAGTTACTGGTGAAACCAAAAATTATTTATTTCTTAAACTGCAGTTCAATGATTTTAGGCCCCCACGATACGCGCTTATATAATTGATATATTTCTGATACTACCAGACCCGGTTAGACCTTGATGTGGCTGTCTGTATTTTGTTCAATTTTTATACTAATTGGTATTGGAAAGAACGAATATTGAGCATCTTATATGTAAAAATTTCAAGTTTTTTATTTTATTTTTGATCTAACAACTTATTTGTATTTCATCAAAGTCTCACGAAAATGACAATATGAATACCTCGATGTAAGCCAAACGCAACAGCCGGATTTAAGCTTCATTACACACAAGTTGAACGCGTAAGAATAGCTTGTAACCCATAAATCCAATCCATAAATACAATATTTTCTAATAGGTGAGGCCATTATCCACGTCCCAAAGAAGAGCAGCGTTGCTGTTAATATGAGCAAAAAGCCACCTATGCACCGAATACTAAGTAAAGCGACCCATAAATAAGATTATTTCGAAAAGGTCTGCCTAAGTTCAGTTCCCGTGGAGAAGAGTGGTCTTTTTGTTAGTCTAAAAAGAGGCACTAATGCAACGATTTTCAAATCGAGCCATAAGAAAGATTTTTCGAATAGGTCTGTCCCTGGTTCACTTCCATAAAGCTGACGAAATTTAGCAGATATGCGGATCTTCAAAAGCGACCGAAATATTTTTATTTTAAATAAATAAAATGATTTGACATGGCATAACAGTTAATCAGCTTCAAACGGTTCCATGGGGACTATTAGAAAAGATATAGTCATTCAGGTTGGATAATTTTCTGAAACTATATATTCGTATATCACAGTACATAAATGCGACCAAATTTTCTTAACTGCTTAAATAGAATAATAATCGGAAACATGTGTATTTTATAGTTATTCTATCTCGTCGAGTACCACTAATATTGGATGAGTGCATAAGTTCGTGCCCGATTTCAAGTGCAAACTAAAATTGAAATTTTTTGAAGAAAGCGCTTTTATTAATCAATTATGTATTCGCCATCATGTTCGGCAATCCACTCCCAACGTTCAACCAATTTACGGATGCCTGATTCATAGAAATCGCGCGGTTTCTCGTTGAAAAAGGTGTCAAGGTGGTTTTTGACGTCTTCCACATTTTTAAATTTTTTTCCATTCAAATTGTTCTGCAGCGATCGAAACAAATGATAATCAGAAGGTGCAATGTCGGGTGAATATGGGGGATGCGGCATGATTTCCCAATTCATCTCCTTCAGTTTGGCCAGGGTCGGTTTTGCAACATGTGGCCTGGCGTTGTCATGATGGAAAAGAACTCCTTTGCGATTGGCCAAAATCGGACGTTTTTCATCAATTGCTTTCTTCAATTCGACCAATTGCTGACAATACTTGTTGGCAGTGATCGTTTCTCCAGCTGGCAAGAGCTCAAAATAGATCACGCCTCGGATATCCCACCAAATGCACAGCAGTACCTTCATCGGATGCAATCCACCTTTCGACATCGGTTCCGCCCCTTCGTGTGCCTGTTTCCATGTTCTTTTGCGTTGAACATTGTTGTACAGGATCCATTTTTCATCACCAGTCACGAGCCGATCCAAAAAAGGTTCGTTTTTGATCCGTCGAAGCAAAGAAATTGCTGTTGACATACGGTCCACTTTGTTTTTTTCACTCAACTGATGTGGCACCCATGTATCGAGCTTCAAAGTGTACCCAACCTTTTTTAAACGACGAAACGCAGTTGATTTGTTGACGTTCAATTCACTGGCAACCTCTTCCGTCGAAATACGTGAGTTATTCGCAACTAAAGTCCTTAGAACATCGTCATCAAGCTCAGAAGGCCGTCCACTGCGAGGTTGATCTTCGAGGTTAAAATCTCCAGAACGAAATTTCGCGAACCATTTCTTTACTGTGCGGAGTGCTGGAGCACGGTCCAAATAAACTTCGCGAATATCTTTAGTTGCAGCGCCTACTGTTTTTCCTTTGCGGAATTCGTATAACATAATATGACGCATATGATCTTTTTCGTTGTCCATCTTCCATGCGTCTTTTCACTAAGCAACTCAAATCAAAATGAAGTTATTTTATGCTTGATTTACAGTTCGGACTGTCACCTTTCCAACGATATATAACATGTATATATTTCTTTCACGAGCGCCACTCTCAAACGATTCGAACGGCATCCAGCGGAATCGGGCACGAACTTATGCACAACAGCGTTAAGTAAGAAACATCAATACAATTTTGAATGTCCTTTGAACAGATTTCAAGAGTTTGTGAAAATTCCTTTCGACAAATATGTATTCGAAATCTGATGGAAAACACGCGAACCTTGTGTTAGTTTAGTAAACAAATTAATTTGAATTTAATATAATAAAAGTTGACTATTAAAAACCATTCTAATTATGCATGCGTCTGCTCACTAGAAATGTTAGTTATTTATGTATAATTAAAGACACCAATTAAAATTCAACAATATTCAATTTATATTTATAACGTTTCTCCCTAAAATAATAAGTCGTACCATAAAATATTTTTTACACGGAAATTCAAAAATAAAAATATATTCATATAAACAAATTACTTTTAAAATAATAGACGATGTCCACATATCTACATCCCAATGTACTATCTCAGTGCTTTAATTTAATCCAATGCGCATTTAACTTTTTTTTAGCTTTTGCAACAAGTTTTATAATATAAAAAGAAAACGAATAAGCAAAACGATTTTCAAACTTATAGCATTTTATATAGAATGCTTAAACAAACATATGATTGGGTGAAAATGCAATATATTGCTTAAAAACCCTCCCATTCTTTATTCGCAGTGAGCTGTTTGCTCCAACATTTGACTGGGCCGGCCAGTTGACTTTATTGTTTAGTATCATACGTCATAACAACACCAACAACTAACGCTAGCACCGTGAAGCCTTGCGCAGCAATACGGGTGCGCATCATGAGTTGAGACATACGTCGATTTCCGGTACGAAAGTTGTATAGACCGTAAGATAAAGCGCCGGCGGTCGCCAAACAACCTACATAAACAGAATTGTTGTGTTTTAATAACTTATATAATATTCTTTTTATAAATTACAGTGAACATGCAGTCAAACACTAACATACCAATTGGCACAGCTGGATTTTCTTTGATTTTGCGTATCATCTTTTCCTTAGTTGTTTCCGGTTGAAATGAACCGAAATCCTTACGCATTTGGATCCAGTCCAAATCTTCATCTGGCAGAGTTACTTGTTCCTTTCCCATTTTCAATGAAAAATATTAAATATATTAACTTGAAACTTTCTTGACAAATTGACTTATTTATTCCACTTATTTCACAATCGTAAAAACATATGGGAAGAAAAATTAAAAAATAATGCCACTGTTGAACGCGTTGCCACACGGGTAGTTAGTTTACGTAGTTTAAGACTGGTAAAAAATAGTGACGTCAGAATCAGTAAAATATTAAGAATGAAACCTGAATTTAATGTCAGGAGAAGTAAAAAGTGAGCAGAAACAAGAAATAAATAAATTACACTTACGTGAGAGTCATCTGACATTAATATCAGCAGATCGTTATTTTTACATTGATTTCTACTCATATTTCTCGCCTACAGGTTATACATTTACATGATGCTTATAATAATGTTGCCCCCTTAGAATTTCGAACCCAAGGCCACTTAATAAAACTTACTACTACTACATTTCCTCTGCTACGGCGCTCGCTTTTCATGTTTATGTTATGTTCATCTAAAAAAATCAAGTAATGTCTTATTTTTTCCTTTTATACAGAGCAGAATATAATCGAAATGTGAGGAAAACACCTGGTAATAACCTGAAAACTCTTTATTAAATAAAATTTCAATTTTATCAATTACATTTTTATTAAATCTGGACATAAAAATGCTTGTCATAGCAAACACATTTGTCCATTATTTTACAGAAACTTTTGGAGGAGCGCTTTCGTCTATAGATATTTTCCCAATAATTTTTTTTATTGTTTATATAACCCCGTTTTTATGGCTGAGTCTTGCAGCCTTAGAAAATTTAAGACACGAGATCTAGAACACATGGGCAGCTTAGAGCTTAAACAGATATCCTAATCAGTTGTGTTCGAATTTACATTTTATTTTAATAAATCACATTTACTGTTTAAAACAAATAATGCCACTTCTTAGATCAAGTGAAACATATCTCTAATTAGTTTTAGTTTCATCCAAATGTCTCAGACCATATATTTTTGGGGAAACTTCCTTTTCCTAACGAAACATCCAATTGAATTTTTAGGGCCTCTTTATTTCATATCTGAAATACTCATTAGAAAATTTTGTATAAAAGTATTCATAAAAGAATTTAAAAATATTTCATACAGCTTATACATGGCTAAGGAGTAATTTTATATAAATATAGTTAATAAGTCATTTATTAATTATCACATCTTATTTAATAATTAATATTTGTTACCTTTTTATTATATTTGTTAACTAATAATGTATATAAATAATTCACTCATTAAATAAAAACAATAGCTAAATTTGCTAATTGCGGTCACACCGGTCTCCTCCGGTTTAAACTATAGGTCTCCCCGTTTGTTGGAAAAACTACAAATCAGCAGGGCAATTCTCTATCGTATTATAACGATTTTCGGATCGTTATAATGACTTAACGATAATTTTAACGATTTTGCTATTCTCTAAGCACAGTATAACGATTTTCGGATCGCAAATTAGACTTAGCGATATTTTTAACGATAATCGCTATTCTCTAAAATGGTATAACGATTTTCGGATCGCAAAGAAGACTTAACGATATTTTTAACGATTTTAATATTCGGTGTACTTGTTTTAACGATATTCGCTCTCGCTGTTGTCGTAAACTACTCGAAAAATCGTTAACTAAGCGACGAATATTTTTAAGTTGTTAGCGATATCGACAAAATTTTGTTATTTCATATAAGAGAGTAAAGTGTCTAAGTAATACAAAAATAAAAATAAAATAATAAAATAAATGGCTTTTGAATATTTGGCATAGAATTTATCACAAGATGAAGAGGTATCCTACCCATCGGATAGAAGTTTGCGTCGAGAAGCGGAAGATCCTTTTCATTTGGATGCTACCGAGTTTCGCCGGGTTTAATTGAAAAAATCGTTTCTGAACTATATTGTCAACTAAAAGGAAGAAGAATAACTGCATTGTCTACGGAGAAACAGGTAATAATATATATTTTCAATATTTTTTTTAGTCTTAACGCTATTATAATGTTTAAAGGTTCTACCCGCCTCGCGATTTTTTGCAATGGGGATGTCCATGAGTCAGTCGTCAGTAAACCGTTGTGTTCATCGCGTAACAGACGCAATCAACCGATCAAGGTTTTCTGTTAGTTTTCCAAATTTTTGCTTCGTCATCGTCACCATATGTTGGAGGTACTATTGGAGCTATCGATTGCACATTACTTAAAAATCATGCAGAAGCGTATATAAACCACCATGGATACCATTCCATCAATGTGTAAATGGTGAGAGTAAATTTGTTTCCGATTACTATTGTAGTAACAAAGTTAATTATATTTTCACATAGATATATGGTCCTTATCGCAAGATTATACTGGCAAATGCCAAGTACCCAAGAGCGCGGCACAATTACTTTATTTGGAGCTCCCCTATAGAGCGAAGAGTCATGCAAGAAAGTGCAAACCATAACATGCTATTGAAAAACTTTGTAATGCATTGCTATTCTTTTAATTAAAATAATTTTAATAACAAATTTATATGTTTTTGTCATTCCTCTTTGTGTTTTTCGTACATTTTGACGTTTCGTTGAGCTGTGGTGCCACCTTTCCTACATTTTAATAAAATGGAAATATGCGATGTCTTAGAGAATCACATAATCGTTAGCGCAAGCGACAAAATTCGCAACTTTGCGATCCGACAAATCGTGTCGATAAAAATTACAGAATTGCACTGCAGGGGAGGAGCTCAGCCAAGAATCTCTTCACCGGTTACAAATCGCCAATTATACATGTATGTATATAATTCACTCTTAAACAATACTGGCTGTTCATTACATTTCAAATAAAGTATTGAAAATTCCTTTGAAAAATTAACATATATGAAAAACAACTACGTTGTTTATGAATATTCCATTAATATTTGTTTAAAAGAAATTAATGCCTTTCAAAAAATTTGAAATGGAACACGACCAGTGTTACCCATAGCTGATTGGCCACAACCATGTTCAACCATAATACAACACTGAGCGGACGCCATCAATACACGTTTGTAGAATTGAAATAAATTGTAGAGTTTTCTTCGGTTTCCTCGTTTATCGTTCGTGTCGTTCGTTTGTCGTGCAATTTCTCTAAAAATTTTCATTTTCTCGTCTTGTATGCAGAAAAATATAAAATTTTAGCATTAAAAGTATAATAAAATAATAGAAATATACATAAATATAAGGTGGACACAATGTGCTATATGTGTGTATAAAAATTGAGTGTTTTGCGCAATTATTTTACTTCGAAAATTGCATGTGAAAAAATCGAAGTATATTTCGGTCGTTGCCGCAGCAGTTGGTTAAGAAGAACGAAAAGGAAGAGAAGCAAGGAACAGTGAAGAAAAAAGTTCATACAGTGGTAAAAAAAATATAAAAAGAAATGTGCATAACTGCCGATGAAAAATACTAAGATTTACTTTGAAAATTAAAAATAAAATATAACTGCAATTAACCGGTGACATTAACTGCTGTGTTTTGTGAATACGAGATTAATAGTAAGTGAAGATGTATATAACGATAAGAATTTCTTTCAAGACCATATGAAAAGCGGAGCGGGAGAAGCGTACGGCAGAGATGTGTGTGTACATAGATATGCGTGTATGTGCTTTGTTATTTTTTTTTTTCTAATAAAGAGGTTAGCGCGGGTAGTCTCAGAAGTTTTGGATTTTGCAATTTTTGTATCAAGCGTCGCGGCCAGCGCAGTTAAAGCAGAATCAATCGTCAATACCACGCATTACTTCGCGCGGAGCACACAGTATTTTACTGCCGTAAGCCCCACATATACAGAAGTCTGCAAAAGCGCACAGCCTGTGCTACGAAAATGCTGCTCTATTTGAAAGTAGCAAAGCCATATCTTTGTCGCGTTTGCTCCGCTGTTGCTTATTCTCCTTTCTTTGAATTTTCTGATCACTTGTATTGCTGCTTGTGCTTGGATGGCTATATATTCCCCATCGTTTATTTTATTTTTCCGGCTGCCTATTAACCAAAAAATATTGCGCGCCGAGAATCTGTTTGATACACAAAGCAACAATAGCAAATGATTTATTGATGATGCCGGAACACAATTGAAATTGTTGGTTTGTTTTTCATTGTCTGTTTTCGTTTAATTTTTGGTTGACGCATTTATAATTGCGACTGGAGAAAAAGAATGTTTAAAAGTGATAATATAATCGAGTGAAATAAGTATCCAGCAAAAGCAGAACAGAATGTATAGAGAATGTTTGATTTTGGCAAAATTGTGTATTGTTATAATTTTCTGTTCGTAACGTTCCTAGCTGACCAAATTTAATAGGATGTTTTTTATGATCAATACATTATGTTGCAACTATTGGTGCTCTTTTAAGATAAGGTAGTAATTTGAGAAGTTGTTAATCACTCCAATTTTTGCAGCGATAGGATAATGCGGGAATAGAATAAGTTCTTACTAATATATATGTATATGTAATATTATTGGCTTTAATTTATTTTTATCGAATAAATTTTTAAATGTAACAGGTTTTTGAGAGTGGCCTTACTAGTTTTATTATTTATTTACACACATGCTATGTGGCACTTTTTACCGCTTCTATTAGCTTTTGTCAAATTGAATAGGCAAGAACATGACGATTGAAAAAACAGCCAAAACACGTTAAATCTCAATATTAAACGTCATATACATTACTTATACTTGCACTAATTTTCATTTTAATTCAATGTAAACATAAACTATGTTTCTAAAAATGTATATGCTCGTATTATGTGTGTACATGGAATATGCACAATAAAACTTCAACAAAAACATATTGCAGAAAAGAAAATTGATTTTCGCTTTGTGTGTCAAATTGATTTCGCCTCATTTCTACATGTCCTTAAAACATACGTATTCATGTATGTATATATATATTTATGCGAATTGGTATTTTATATCCATTGCCGGCGTTTTTCAGTTTCACTGAATGGGGGTGATTTCTTTCGGTTTTTTTTTTTTTTTGTCTAAAGCATTCCAGTTGTCATTGTCGGCATCCCTTACCCTGCACCCTCAATAAAATAGGAATATGTAAATGTGGGTGTTGGTTGTTGACTAGATAGACTTTGGCTTGAAGGCAATACATTTATTTTTGCTCATCAAACTGAACTCCCTTTCGCAATGCTTGTTTCTGTGGTTGATCTAGTGGATATGGGGGAAATTCAGGCATTTATATTAGCGAGTGATACATACTCATTGTCCGAAGTGTGGCAGCTTGCACAATTAAAGGGTTGGTTTTTTTTTTTTTTTTTTTGTTGAAAAAACTTAAAGGTAGTGTGTCATTTAAATAATAAAATGTAAATAAATGAGAAAAGAAAATTAGCTAATTTGTATATTGATTGTAAAGGATTACACTTCAGAAAGTCTAAGCTTAAGTTCTATTTAAAGACATTATTAAATACTCCAAGATCAGATGATATCAGCAATTTGAATGATGTAAATATTTCGTTTACTCGATTATAATTTTATCGTTTAAGTCAATTTTTATTGCGAGTGTAAAATTTTGTAAATTTTTATTTTTGAATCTACCGTTTAAATAGTATTGTATATGAATTTTGAAAAAAAATTATAGTCTCTTAAACCTCAGCGTTTTTCACGTACATTCCCTTCTATTACCTGTTCATGTATCACACATGTTGTTGTTATTGTCATTGTTATGATGTAAACAAAAGTTCGTTGAACGAATAGCGCGCTCGAGTACCAACGCATAGCCACACATCGGTCATTGAGGCAGTCACAGTAGTGTTCGCCAAACTTTTCTATGTATTTTAATGTGTGATTCGTTTATCTGTCTTGAACAAATGTGTGAAATATATCTAAAATGTAATATGTAAGCACGCCAAATGAGCGCGCCTTAAGTTCAGAAATTACAATTCCAAACACAAAACATGTGGTTGTGAGAACGTCATTAAGGGTGCATACAATAGTAACTTGCCCAAATCACACGCAGGCGAAAGAAACTTAAGATCCAGTATATAAGAAAATTACAAAATTTCACAATGTCATAAACATGTTAGGCATACGAGCAGAATCCAACAGCTCGTTTCTTGGACCTCCCATTAGATGACCTCGACAACTTAGACTGATCAAACCTGTGCCTAAGTGGGGTTAGCGATCCGCTACAAGAATAACAACAATTCGAGATGGATTTCACGTGAGACTTAGAATAAGCAGGCATTAGTAGAAGACTTTCAACGTGTACTTTCATATGCCTCTGTTGCGCTTTGCAAATAAATCTCAGTTCATTAGAACCACGATTTTTTATAATTTTAATAATTATTTTATTTTCTATCTGTATACGATTTTAATTAATATTTGGAAAATTGTTCTATTTTTCTCTTTTCAGTAATCGAAGTGATCACTCTTACATTCTCTAATAAGAATTGCATGCTAGCATGAGCTATAACCAGAAACCACCTGGTCCGGGCGGCAGCGGCATGGGAGGAGGTATTCCGCCGAATGGACCGAACAATCAGCAGGTAGCAAAGACTTTGGCAGGCATACAACAACAAATGCAGAATCTTGTACACGGACAGAATGCTTTACCCCAATCCTCGCAGGCAGAGCTTAATGTATTCTTTCAGCAACAGCGTTTTCAAAATATGTTGAAGCAACAACAATTATTGCATTTTCAAATGCAACAACAGCAACACCAACAACAACAGCAACAGCAGCAACAACAACAGAAGGATCGTGGCGGTGGTAGCGTGGGCATTGGTAGTGGTGGTGGAGGTGGCGGCGTTGGCGGAGAACCGTTGGCGCTTACACGCACGCCAGCAGCGGCTGAGTTGTTAAATAAAACCTTCCAACAACATCAGCAACAACAGCCGAATGGCGGTGCTGCTGCACCCAACGCGGCCTTGAATCAATTTCAACAGCAATTGCAAGCCTTACCACCAAATCTGATACAACAATTGCAAAATTTGTCATATCAAATGCAACAGCACCAGCAACAACAACATCAACATCAACAGCATCAGCATCAGCATCAACAACACCAACAGCAACAGCATCCAGGTCAGGCGGCCCAGGCCCAACATCATCCCACACATCAGCAGCCGCCACCACCACCACCAACACAGCAACAACAACAACAGCAACCACAACCTTTGTTGACGGCACATCAACAACAGCAATTGCATGGGCAAATACAGCAACAACAACAGAAGGCACTTCAACAATTCCAACAAAGTTTACGTTATTTTCCTACAGCAGCTCCAACACAACCATCGGTCGTACCCCAAACAACTGCAGGTGGTAATAAAGGAGGTAGTGCAGTTGCCCCATTAACGCAGCAGCCACCAATTCAAACCCCACCACCACAACCACCGTCCTCTACTTTGATTGGCAATCAATTAAAAGCACCTAATTTGCCGCCAAGCACTCAAATCACACCAGTGACTGGTAATGTGGGCATGATTCCAGGCAGTATAGCGCAACAGGCTGGCAAGACCAATGTAAGCAGTACATCGGTAACCACACCAACTTCGGCAGCTATGTCTAGCGCCGCTGGTGGCGGTAATACTGCCATTGCCGGGGCTAAACAAGCACCAACGCCCTCTATTTCCCTCTTACCGGCCAAGTCTGGCACATCAACCGCAGCACCAGCTGCCGCACATCAACAAAGCAAGTTCGGTGCTGGTAAAACATCGCCGGTCGTCAGCGCCATACCACCACCATTCCCAACGCATTTTCAAAAGCCGTCGGCAATCGCATCTAGCGGCAATACCGCAACCACTACTAATATTACGTCAACAGCCAAGACTGGGGCAGTGCCTACAGGAGCAGCAGCGATGACATCCGGTGCTTCAAATGCGGTTGGATTGAATAAGTCACCTCAGCAATTCGCCAACCCAGTACCGCTTACAAAACAAGCATCAGCTTCACAACCACAGTCACCAGCTGCGCCAGTAAGCGCGGTCGCTACCATTGCTGCTGCTGCTGTTTCCGCAACATTGACTACAGCCGTAGTCGCAACTACAGCAAATACTGGCGCAATCGCTACTGACACTGCAGATCAAAACAAAGAAACTCAGAAGGCTACAAATTCAATATCAGATTCCCTTGACTCTGCTGGTGCTAATAACATCATAGAGCCACCGGCAGATAAACATGGTAAAGCAGAGACAAAGGAGGAAGTTAAAAGCGCTGCAGCTACTAGTGATGCTACTTGCAAAGCGAAAGAGGAGCCGAATGTATCCACAGCCGCGGTAAAGCCAACTCTGGCGGAGGGGATAACAGAAAAGAATGACGATCTTGCTGCATCCAAAGATACAAATATGGACGCGGCTACTAAAGTCAAGAAGCCAGCAGATGGGAGAGACAGCGTGCCTGAGAAGTCAAGTACTACTGGTGAGAACTCAACTACGACGGCTGGTGGTGCTGATAGGATTGATATTGTAAAACCAAGTGATGTCGATGTAGAGCAAAAGAAGCTGCATGATGGAAAAGAAAGAGACGCAATCTCTAATACAGAGTCGAAAGCAGATTTGGTCACTAAAACTGACGAACAAAATAAGGTATTTATAAAAATAAATCATAGTAATGTACAATACGCCCTTATGAGAGAAAAATGCAAGTAGAAATATTCTTTTTGTTTTGATAAGTTTCTATAATAAAAATTTATTCTTTTTTCAGAATGTGCAAAAGTTGGAATCTGCTACTGTACCAACTATAAATGATGAGAACAAAAGTACGGCTGATGAATCACATGACCCAAAGTCTGAAAAGAATCCAGACAAAAACATTAAATCGCCAACAACTGTCACTGAAAAAGAAGGTGAAAAGAATGATAAAACTAAAGTCAAGGATAAACCGATAGACGCTGAGAAAATTGATATCACTGAAACGAAACCTGCAGACGAATTAACCAAGAACTCTTCCGAATCGGCAGCAAATAAACCGCTAAGCACAGACGAAAAAGAAGTTTTGAAAACAGCAAATGATTCAAAAACTGTTGTATCTACTCCAATTGCCACTGAAGCAAAACCGAAAGCTTCAGCAACCATAGCAGATGAAGTTAAACCTGCAGCAAAGGTTGCTGAAAAGCCAAAAGAGGAAAAAAAGAACACAAAGTCGGAAAAGGCATCTGCTACTACTGTCTCCTTATCGTCAACCGACCATGCAACACACTCCAGTTCTGGCAATAGCGGTAACACCAATCATACGATTACAAAGAGCACAAAATCAAAAGTAGAGACAGCACCAGATTCTACAAATAGTTCGGTATCAGACGCGGTTGTGGCTACACCTGTTAAACGTTCAAGTCGTCAACCGAAAACTGTTCCAAAATCTACAGAAAAGCCAACAACTGAAAAGAGTGAAAAGGTTACGAGCAGCAGCCGTTCCTCACGCAAATCAAAAAGTGGTGTGAGCAGCAGTAATAGTAGCACAGTCGCTGAAGTACCCGCTTCGCCGTTGACACCCAAGCCGAGCAGCGAACAAGGACCCAGCACTAGTGCTAGCGATCGTAAAAGCTCGCGCCATCGACTCAAAACTATACCATTTCAAAGTCCACTACCCGAATTGGCATACATCACAAAGTTATCGGCTAGCGAAGCCTCCAACTCCCCAAAACCCATGTCGATTGAAGATAAGTTGATTGTATTCTACAAAAATGAATATATGGCAGTGCGCAATGCCGAGGGTACGTTCTACTTATGTCAAACGATGCAAAATGTTTATCGCACATCGCCTCGAATCAGTATTCGTTGGCTCTCGGAGGATCCTAACAGCAGTGGCATTTATATACCTGACTTTTATGATCACACCGATATAGAGTGTGTATTGACGACCGTCGAATTAAAACGTGTCGACAAAGGTCATCTGAGTTTACCGAAGAAGGAACAAGCGCGCATTGAAAGTATACTTAAGAAAGCTATCGACGTAGAGAAAGGTTTGGTGCCCAGACCTGAACTTACAGAGGAGAATCCGGATGGATGTAAGTATAAAAAAAAAAATAGTAATAAAAAGAAATACTTTATGAAAAAACAAATGCGATTATTATCACATAATTTTTTTTTATAAATTTCCTAGTGGATATATCATTGTACAAAGATGAATCTCAGATTGAAAAAAAATTGGCAATGAGTGCAACACCTACTGCTGCACGCAAGTCACGTCGTAGCGGTAATGAAATTGGCACACCAACAACTGGTAGATCTAGCGCTGGTGCATCATCAGCAAATACAGCATCCAAAGCACGCAAACGTGGCCGTGGAAGGACTATTGGTACATCTGATGGTGATAATGGTGTCAAACTTTCGGCAAAGAAAAGAAAAATCGTTGCTAAACGTAAAATAAAATCGAAGAAAAATACAACTACCGATGAAGAAAGCAGCGATGATTCCGATGCGGAATATAAGCCAAATCAAAAGAATGCAAATGCTGCATCAAAGTCCTCACCTCGAGCTCAACGTTCACCTTTGGCAAAAGCTAGAGCAGCTTCACCAATTAGCTCGACAACAGCGCGAACAAAAAACGTGACTGCAAAGGTAGGTACACAAAAATAAAAATAATAAGCAAGGTCAGTCATTAACTGAACGGGTTTGGTTGCTGCAAGGGCGGTACGCAAATTTGGTGTTTTACTCTAGTTTACATCCAAGTAAATACTATCTATGGTTTAATCGAAATTAATTCAAAATTCATTAAAAAAAAATTTCGCCATGGTTGTGAGACTAATAAGATTAAAACATATTAATTAATTATTCCACTTCTGAATTAAGAAAAAAGAAACAATATCTGTAGAGGATATTACTTGATAAAATTTTCTATTTTTTTTTGTTTGTTTGTTTGTAGAAACTTAAATATCTATATTAACATTTAAATAATTACACTGTTGCACTCTGTTTCACTGCTTTATAACCACAACCCATCTGCTTTCGTTTTGTTATGTATTAAACTATTTTTTGTTTTTCAGCCAATTTCAACAGCCAGTAGCCGCGGCGAACGAGCAAATAAACGCAAGGCAGCAGCAGATGGTGCTTTTGCGGAAATTACACCTACACCGGCAAAGAAAGCTGCTGGTGCAACATCAGCGTCTGCTGTTGTCGCCACAGCATCAACACCAAATGCCTCAAAATCAAGCAATACAACAAAAAGTAAAAGTATTACATAAAATTTCTAATCTTATTGAGCTTGTATTAATAAAACTATTAATTATTAACTAAACAGCTCAAGATGGTGAGTCGAACGGTAGTGCGTCTGCGGCCAAAAAAGCCATCACAACGGGGGATGCAACAAATATGGTGACTAGCACGACAAACGTTGCCAACAATACAACATCAGATAGTAACAACACAGGCGCTTCCAGCACCTCAAGCAGCAGCGGTGGTGCTAGTAACGGTAGCAATCGACCTACTAGAAGTCGAAAGTAAAAACCGTAATTTAGTTAAGCAGTTAAAATATGTAAATTATGAATAGTAGGATGTAGTGTTTATGCAATTAACGATTGCAAACCAAATTCAATAGGTACGGAAAACAATAACATACTTAGATATAAAGATTAGTAATATGGATTGTAGATTGGCGGCTAAACAAGGACAAAGTTATGGCCAAGTAAAATGTGAATTTCGTTTTAAAGTTATGACGACAAAAAAAGCGAAAATTCATTTAAGTGATGCGTAGCTAGCCTGTAACCCTACTGATCATCTGACCATAATGCAAAAGTAGTAAAATCGTGCGACATTAATAAGAAAAAATTAAAAACATTATATTTAGAGTGTATGTGTTGTCGAAAAATAGCAATAGAAGTTATAAAGCATCTGGGTGAAAAAGCCACATGACGTAACGAATACACAATGCGTAGTACTGAGAATGTTATTTTGCAATTATAAAATTTTCATTTTCTTCCAAAATCATAACAGCTGTGCTTCGTGTTAATTTTTTTTACAAAAATTAAAGATTGAAATAATTACAGTGCGAACAAAATTAAAAGAAAAAATTTCCGTTAATATTGCTATAAATTATACTTTTTTTTACTATGATTATTACATTGTATTCCCTATAATTTATAGGGTTTATATATATATATATTTTTTTTTTTTTTTTTTTGTAATTAATGGTTTATTGGTTACTTTTTGTTTAGGTACATAAGATAATATACTTAAGTTTTTACTTTTGTATGAAGAGTTAAGATAATGTTTTGGTGAACAAAAAAAAAAAGCAAACAACTTCGCGAACAAAATGAACGTAACTGTAAACAAGAGAGAAAGAGAGAGAGTGCAGGGTATGTTTTTAACACTTGGTAACTTTCAAATAGAGTTGGTTTGCTTCTAATATCCATTTAATTCTCAGCAATAATATACATATTATTTAAGTAAATATTGAGCTTATCAAGTGGAATAAAGTTCTGATATTTATTAGTTGTAAATATAGAAAAACAAATGAAACATTAATTGCAGATATTACATTTTTTCTAGCCAAAGCCGGACAAATATGGGCATAATTCACATAAATTTTTTTATGAATTGCAAAATAAGCATTCATACGGTAACAAAGAGTCTTTCTTCTTCATTTTATAGCCAAAAGAAAAAGATAACAAAGAAGAACATATGGAATAAAAAAAAATTAAATAACACCATATATGTATAAAAAAGAGAACTCAAAGGTGCATATAGTAGTTGCATTAGGTGTAATCGAGCGAAAAATGAAGAGGAGTGTTTATGAAGGCAATAATAAAGCAGCGTTTAAATATCAAAAAAATATTAAACATATTAATGCAGGGATGAAAATCAATAGATATTTGTGTATATTAAATGTACTCATTCCCAATAAGATAAAAATATAATAATATAAAAAAAAAAACAATTCGCACACATATTTGAGACAAAAAAGATTAAGTTTATATTACAATTCATATGCATGTATAACTGGGCTGGCGAATTTGAAAAAAAAAAAAAACAAAAATAAAAAAAATATGTAGTTATATTGGGTCGTCATAGAGAGGCAGAATGTGTAGTGAAGCAAGCGTTTATAAATAAATATTTAACAAACCGTAAACAATAGTTTGTGCATGAATTATATAAGTAAGAATCATAATATTCAACTAGCCATTCAAAAATAACATCAAATTTAAATGTAGATTGTAACATTTTCAAAACATATATATAAACACATTATATACATATAGTATATACGTATGCAAAATATATACATACATAACATACAATTAATTTAGTATGTAGTCAAATGCACGTAAATTTAATATGTGGTTTGAAAATAAAATAAATAAAAATGGCACTGCTAACAGGACAAACAATTTATTTTAAATTAATTATTATAATAAAATTGATTAAAAAAAAAAAAGTTATAAAAAAAACTTTAACAAAGGGTAAAGGAACAAGAATTTTTGACAAGTTGAAAATTGCATTTCTTTGTAAGAAAATTATATATGCTCTAAATATAAATAGGAAAAATATAGTTATTAAAAAAAATAAGAGAAACATATTATGCCTAAACACAAAATACATAAACGCATATAAATGTAAGAAACCAACAATTTTTCATTTTTAATTAAACAATAGCAAAAAAAAACACAGGCCCATGTAAGTTTCAATAAATTAAGTTTTTAGCACATAATATACAATTTCAAACAAATTGCTATAAACATATATCATATGAAAAACATATAATAATTTAACATAGACACCTTGGTGTGATTTGTAAAAAAAAAAAAAATCGGAGCTATACATATTAAAATAAGTTAGTAAACACCCTAATAACAGAGGCATATTAATGCCAATTTAGCAGACCCAAATATATAAATATATACAGTAAAATATATTAGAATAAGATCAAAGCAAGATCCCCGAAGGTTGGGCCCACAAATAATACAAAGCAATTTAAACCCCGCACATATGAAAAGCAACAAATAATACATGTATATTTGTGTCTATTATGACTCCAAAAGAATTTACATTGTTATTCAGAATGTAATCTCACAAGTAAATCAGCAACTATTCAACCCTACAGTATGTACTTTTTAATCTGAAGCAAAATAAAATCGATAGAAATCAAAAGTGCTGCTAAATAGAAGTTTTAATGAAATAAAAAGATCCGTTACACAAAAAAAAATTACGTTAATATCAACAATAGCTGAACGATTAATGCAAAGACAACATTATAGCTCAAAAAGTTTGAAAATTTATGGTCCATTTATTTTTGATCACAATTCATAGCATAAATAACATCAGAGCAGTTCTGAAAATTTCTTACGACATAACATGGTACATCACTTTTAAATAAATTGAAATCAGCAAGCATTCGTACCAATAAAAAATAAATTAAATTAAAAAAAAATAATTATATGCGCAAAAGATAACAAAAAAATTTTATATAGAGCAAACATTAAAAATTTGAATATAAATAATGATTAGAAATAATAAATATAGGCAGAAATACGATAATTATTACGCATACAATATGGGAGAATAATGAACGGTATTCCGTAGTAAAAATAAATACCGTATGTCCCTTTTGAGTTATCGTATCTTCAGTTAATATCAAGGATTTTCAAACATATTCACAAAATAAAAAATTTAATAAATAAAAATGAAAAGGTAAAAAATATACTATTAAAAATATTAAAAGAAAAGGAATATATATACAAATATGCATAAAAATTAATTTATCATTTAAGTTTATGATGTAAGTAACTAAAACAAAAAGGAATAAAATTCATTTTGAAATTCAATAAAAAAATAAAAACATTTTCGTTTTTCATTGAGAATGGATTTTTATGAAAACATGCTATAGATTAAGTCTGAGATGTTTTATGACTTCCATCACATCAACAATTAATATCATGGATATTGTAGTCGACTTAAATCCTACTCACCCGGACTTTACTCCGACGTACCCAATGTATATCCTGCAATGAGTTCCCGCTATACAATAACCATCTTTTTGCAATCCCCCCTAAATCAAACGCAACTAACGCCTCTCTCTGGTCCGAAACCGTCGAAATAGCCCGCTTCCTACACGTTCCTAGATGACGACTTGTTTCGACTACCCGTAAATCCCCTTTAATCAGATATCTTAATTTGGAGCTTCGTCAATAGGAAGAACACCTCAGGACCTCTCATTAGGCGCAACATAGCAACCGTCAAATCATTGTTTAAACCGATGAGAAGAAATGTTCAACCGGGAATAAATTCAAGTCATTTATTATATTTAGTCGGCTTGGGGGTGTAACATGATAGACAAAATGAAATGATAAGTGGCCCTTCATATCCGCAAACTGCGAAATACAAGCGTTGGTTGATCCAGAGAGAAAGTTCAGGGGTAATGGGGAAGTTAATAGGCTATAAAACCGTCAGCTCCGACGAAATAAGCAAGCTAATGATAAAACATCTGTATCCACCGGAAGCGAAATCTGTCTCCGATTATTCTAACAATACGCAACCCGACGGAAATAGAGTAGAGTGATCCTGCTACTGAAACCCAAGAATATAGTCAGTAAAAAATTACGAACGAATATATAATTTGGCAGTTAAAGATTCGGAAAAGCCCTTCAGAAGCATTGATGAGGAGGATGAAGCAATGACTAAACATCTCAATAAACCTAAGCTAAGTTTTACGATGGGCAATTCAAATGTATATTGTTAACCGCTATGCTGAGCAGTGAATAAACATATGCATGTATATTTGTAACGAAATAAATAAATTACCTTTAATTTAATGTTGCATTGGATTAGCCATTTTTTTTTATTTGATTTTAGACGTCATCATTATGTACGAGTACTACACCAACTTAGTACATTATTATTATTTATTTACCAAATCAAAATAAATTATTTTGTATATGAATTTGTTTAAACTTAGCTATGTTGTTGATTTTTTTGCTCATCTTCTCTTTTTCCATCGCTCAAAATAGTTAATGACTTGTTGAGCTCGTTTGCCACATTCTCTAACTCATCCGGACCCGTCGTTTCTGCATCATGAAACTGTTGTTCATCTATATTGTCAACGCCGAGATCTTTTAATATGCCACGCAAACGACGAATTTCCCGGTGAGCATCATCCAACTCATGTTCCAAATTATCAATCATTTCAGTTGGTATAGGTTTATCACCCAATTCCTCACGTATGAAATCCAAAGGATTTTCAGGTTTCACATTCGCTTGCAATAATTTGTTGAGTATCTCGTTAAGTTTCGATGTTATACCACATTCCCGCAAATATGCATGACGTATATCCTTTTTCGCTTCAGATGAAATTTCTTCATTTAAAAACATTTCCATAATCTTACTTTAATTTTAATAAAATAAATTAAAAACTGTGTCCTTTAATTGGCTGAAAAAATTTAGTTGAGGTTAAAAAAATTTTTGCAAATATAACTGTAACTTTTTGACATTTTGCATTTTCCGCAAAATCGAACTGAATACAGTGTTGGGAAATAATTGCACATTTCATTAGGGAGAGAAATCATCTGATATTAAGTTTTTTGTGAATTTCGAAATCATATTCTATGCTAAATTAACTTATTCTTACCTGACAAATTTTTAATAAAGCAAATGTTTTATGCACTACACATGATTATTTTATTGTTCATATGATTAAGTTTTTTTTGTTTAATATGGTATGCTTAGGTAACAATTAATTTTATTTTACAAATATCTTTTATAGATGCTCTTTAATGCTTTCATAGATGTTTTTTCTTTTTTTTTTGGTTGTATAACTTTCTATGAAGTTTTTTTTGCTTTCAGCAGCTTACAAAAGTTTAATTTTATTGTTTTTCTTTTCTTTTTAAATAATATATAAGTTATACGTAAGTAACAGTGTATAATTGAATTTATTTAAACTGTAAAATTAACAATTGGTGCGTTAACAGGTGATCATAACGTCTTATGATATTTTTTTCATCTAAATCATAATAAACACAGACATATTCAAAATATAAGTGTAGATATACAATATATTTTGGCGAAGATTTTCAATTACTTCGTAAACCTTACCTTTTTTCAAACTTGTTAATGAGCCATATAATACAACATGAAGGTACATAAATTTTTTTACCAAATGTATGTAAGCATATTTACTGATAATTCCTTTGGGGCTTTTCCATATTTCAAAAAACCGAACTCATTTCTTTTTGTCCAGAAATCAGTTATTAATTTCACTGACCTCATTCAGCTTCAAAAATAACGTACACTGCGCGACAACCGATTAGCACACCCTATGCTGCTCGTCTTAGAATCTCAATATCAGGAAAACTAAAAGCTTTTTCCCCTAAAAGAATATATAATTTCAAACGAAAATTAATAGAAGATAGGATACTAGCTTTATCAATAACATTTTAAATTAATTTAAATAAACATAACATACAAAATTCACTATTATTTTTGCGACAACGGATTAGCACAGTCACTTGAAAGCTTATTCGAAATAACTTTGCACAGTCCGAACGCACACTTTAACACCGGTTTTTTTCCTTTATTTTGGCGGTTGAGTCGTGGGAATTAGATGCGTGTCGTAGTATGATTCGCTTGTCAGCTGCTGTTATTACTGATGATGGCCGACCTTTCATGTTTTTTCCCATATGTATCATCATTGCTTAAATATGCGGTAATAACTTGACGGCTGCGCTTAATATCTTTTGATATTTGAAGAATAGAGAGCCCGCACTCCCTGCAAGCCTTTATTTTGCCTTTTTCAGACTCGTCCAACGGGTTTTCTTTGAACTTTTGAACTTATTACTTTATTTTATTGATAATTAGTCCCAATAAATAAATAATAAACTTAAATACCCAATCAAGGCAGCTCAAACGCAAAAAGTGACATGAAAGCGAAAATGTGCTAATCGGCTGTCGCAAAAAACATGCTTGCATTTTTGTCACACTTCAAAGAAAAAAGTAAAGCAAAATAACGGTACACTTCCAGAGCTCACAGTTATACTTAGAATGAGCGAAAATGATCCAGAATAAAAGGAAAAATAGAATGCGCAAGAAACATATTCAGAGTAGGGAGTTATTTTCCTTTAAACTGATAGGTTAGAGAGTGTGCTAATCGGTTGTCGCGCAGTGTATATTTGATAGCTTGTCTATTGTGGCGAAAATGTAATTACGAATGCCAGCTGAAAAGGTGATACCAAAAACTAAAATATGGTCTAGAGAGTATGCATCGAATGCCCATTATCGAGAACACTTTGCAAAAGCTTTCCAGGGATGAGTATAAGCAACCAGTGAGGTATATGTATAAAAGCGAACTGCACATTACTGAGAGTTTTAGTTCAGTAGAGAACTCGGTAGTGACAGCGTTGGTGTAGAGTGATGCCGAGCCTGTTTACAGGAGAATATATTGTGATTTTATAGAGCGTGGGATTTCTTAGTAAGCAAAAAAATTTGGTAAAATGCATTTAACAATATATTGATCGAATCCGCAAGATTTGGGAAATGATTGCAGATAATGTAGCGAAATCGTGTAGCCCTTTTGTTTTGTATGTGACCTGCAAAAGAACATTATGGAAGTGATCACATAACCTGCAAAACAGCAACACAAAATAAACAATTTTAGTTATTTAACCGCAGCGTATGTTGAAGTCACTGAAATACACCTAACCTAGCCAAGGAATTTATATTAATATACATACTTATCATTTACTATGTAAGCACAACAAAAGGTTTTATCTACATATTAACAGGCCTATTCTCACTGTTACCGTTAAAGTAAATTTTGTTACCTCGACAGCATAGGCTGCAGCGATCTTCTGTCGAGCTTCTTCTTAAATTTTCTCGTATTGTCAAAAAAAAAAAAAATGAAGGAGCCTACAGTTTATTCTAAGACGCCTACGTGCAGCAGAGCATGTTTTTTTCATGTCAGAAATGCACTAGAAGGAGGTGAGCTTCTCTCGAAAATTAACTTATTTCGAAAATTAACTTTTCAAAATTGAAAAGTAGCGTCATAACTAGTTTTCGTATCGTGATAATTTAACCAAAAAAATTTTTTGACAAAATATGATAAAATTGTAGCATGAGCAATTTTTAAATTATTAAATAACATTATTTTAAAATTTTATATGACAAAATTTTTATTGTTTAAACGAGTCAAAAATGTAAACTAAATACTGGTTTTTGACAGGAAAGTACATAAAAATAAAATTTTTTGATGGAAAGGCCCACAGTATGTTTGTTATATGTATATATACATACATATATATATATATATATATATATTACATATTACATATGCAAAATTATTAATAAATATTTTTTATTCCTTTGACTTCACTGTCTTTTCTTATAAAGTAAACTACTCGTACATAAGAATATTTATGATGTTTGTTGTTATTCATTTTGTTGTTGTTATTGATTTTGTTGTTGTTGTTGTTGTCATCTAATATTCCTTAAATATGTCTCAAATAAAGCGCTGTTCATTTTTGCGTTAAATATACATATATTAATGTGTGTATGTATGTATGTATTTAATTTTTTGTTATACTTTTCATTTTTTTAATTATTTTTATATATATACCATGCGGGTATATACACATACAAACATATGTATGTATATGAGTTTTCGATTAGAAATGTTTTCTACTTTCTACTGGGCAATGGTTAATCCTTTTTGGATAGAATCATTCTTAGTAATTTTTCAAGAAACTCTAAAATAATGGCAGCAACCATGAGCTTTCACTCCAACAGGCCTATTCAGTCGAGGTAACAAAATTTACTTTGTTATTAAAATTTACCATTCACTAAATTTTGTTACTATTTCGTATTCTGAGTTCACTTTCACCCTGTAAATTTTGTTACCAGCGAAATAGGAGGTAACCGAAATAATCTGCCATTTGATTTTGTGTTGTAAATTTGAGAAAAAAAAAATAACAAATGGGTAGGCATATTTTAGGCCTGGAATTCATTGAAGATGAAGAAAAAAGTGCAAAAAGCCGTATTTTAAGAAGTTTTTGAGACTGAAAAATAGCCCTTTAATTTGTAAGATAACGTTTTCATTCAGCTTTTTTTTTGTTGTTCAGGCATATTTTCAATAATTAGGTTCAAATATTTATGATTTAATAAACAAATTAAGAAAAGTTTTTAATTTTTTTTTGTGCACCGTCTTCCATTTCGATGTGAATAATCTTCTTCTTTTACTTTACCAACTGGCAAATGTAATTTGACTTGAACGAAAAAAGCGGTGCTGCCAAAGTTTTCTCAAACATTGTAACCAGTTCGCCAGAATACCAAATTCAAATTCGGGTGTTAAAGAAAAGTAACAAAATTTACTTTACCGGCAACAGTGAGAATAGGCCTGTAAAGTAGTGTATAAGTGATCTATCGCTCCAGTTGATAAGAAAAGAAAATTATTTCTCCAATCTGTACTATTTTTTACACATTTATAAGGTAACTACTAGAACTTCTACTAATTCTACCGCCAAACATTACATTCTATTATAAGCAAGTTTATATTGTTTTTGCTAACAGCATTTCTAAGCACAGTTTTTGTTTCTCCAGCAAATTTATTCACTAGTCACACTAGTCATACGCACATCATCAGTCTATATCTTATTCCCTACAATTTTTTTTATCCAAGTTTAAAGCATTTATACGAACATACATATATACAATATGTCGATATTTAGTGAAAGCGTTTAAATTGTGTAAAACTGAGCATTTAGCTCCCAAGTGTATCAGTATAATAAAATTTATGGTAATGTAATTAAAATAATTGATTGAGGTGCATGCATATGCATCGACAATTTCGGGACTTTTTTCAATTTCAGCAACTCTATTGCCTATTGTGAATTATAGTTAAACGAAGAAGAAGCGTTAATTAAAATATTTTTGCAAGAAAATAGATACCACAGAGGCCAAGGAAAGCAAGGAACGGAGTATAAATATCAGGCTCTGATCGAAATATGGACAGAAAGAATAGTGGATCTGTCACCATATCACATACACACGTGTATGTATACGAGGTATGTTCAAAAAATATCGCGAATTTTGTGTTTTTTCAAAAATTATTTATTTATTTATGAATATCTATTTTGTCCCCTCCAAAGTAATCCCCATGAGATATTATACACTTGTGCCTACGGTTTTTCCAATCTTTGAAGCACTTCAAAAAAATCATTTTTTTATCTTGTTCAGCTCCTCCTTCGATGCCGTCTTTATCTCGTCAATCGTGGCGTAACGTCGTCCTTTTATGGGCCTCTTCAGTTTAGGGAACAAGAAAAAGTCACAAGGGGCCAGATCTGGAGAATACGGTGGCTGCGGCATCATTAGTGTGTTGTTTTTGGCCAAAAAGTCGCGCACAAGCAACGATGTGTGAGCAGGGGCGTTATCGTAGTGCAAAAGCCAATTTTTGTTCCGGGCCAAAAGCCAAAAATTGCGCATAATTTGCAGGTAATATTCCTTATTGACCGTTCTACCCTGTGGCAAGAATCCACGATGCACTACGCTCTGCAATTAATTTTTTCGTCTATTGTTGAAGTGCTCGGGCGTCCGGCACGCTCTTCGTCGTTCACATTTTCTCGGCCTTCTGAGAACATTTTATACCACCGATAAACGTTCCTTCGGTCCAACGTAGCATCTCCGTATGCCACAGTCAACATTCGGAAAACATTTTTTTGAATAGGTAAAAATCTAAGACCATCCAAAAGACGTGCAAGCAAAGCAGCTGTCAACAATTAAGTGAACATTTAAAATGCCCGAGCTTGTCGGCATAAGGGACAGACATGAGTACCAACATAACGCCACAAAAAATCGAAATTCGATTATACGTAACCCGTGAAAATTCAAAATTCGCGATACTTTTTGAACACACCTCGTACAGCGATAGTCAGACCCATTCTAATTTACGGGATTACTGTATGTTGGTCGGCTATCAAATAAATTGAAGCTGAGTCCAATGGTTCTTGCAAGTGGTGCTTAAAGTCGAATATTCTTTTTGTGATGTGCCTTGACGGCGGTTCTGCATCTAGTAAGTGTCCATTGAGTTGTTCCCTACGGTAGCATCCCTGCAGAGCCGGAGCATTACGCACCTAAATTCGTAGCATAGATGCTTCGCTGTGGAAGTGATGCTCTGCTGATATCAGTAAATTTCCAGGCATGGTCCTTAGGGGTTTTTTTGGTAGGAATACAGCGGCGTTAATAGTCGGAATTTTTACGACATCGACGTTCACATCGAGTCCAAGCCGCTACTCCTTCGTCTAAGGTCGTCGAGATAACAGCACACATTCGAAAAAAAGTGTTTAACATCCTGGTCAGACGTCAATACCAAGAGAACATCGGCCAATGAGATCAGTGAAACCCCTTCTGGTGGAGGTGGGAGCTTCGAGATATAATAGTTAAACAGAAGTGGGGAGGGGACACCAGAGAGAGAGAGAGACAACTTTTACTTCTTTTCTCTCTCTCTCTCTCTCTCAGTGAGCCACCTCCTATGAATAAACCAGGTCGGACGATGCACAGTGCCGCCCTAACAAATGTAGACCCAGAGAGAGGACACCGCAGAGAGAGAGAGAGAGAGGGACAACTTTCACTTCTCTCTCTCTGGGTCTACATTTGTTAGGGCGGCACTGTGCATCGTCAGACCTGGTTTATTCATAGGAGGTGGCTAAAATGTTGTTGTTTAATAGTTTACAAAACAACCAAACAAAAAATCATGTTTGAAAAATGTATATACATATATACACACAACTACTTTCACATGGAAATTTTATTTATTTAACACGTCATTGAGCTTTTTCGATGAATAATTTTTGTTTTTATCTCAATGTAAGGACCTTTCAAAATATGTATGTATATTTGTATGTGCATATTGTGCATATGATATTTATGTATGTATTTGTCTTATTACATATTTAAAATAGTTTACAGTATAGCACTGTAAATAGGTAATTTTCAACTACATAGTATTGTTGTTGTTCGATTTGTACATTTAAAGATTTGTCTTTGTTTTTGCATTGTTTCAATATGAAAAAGAAAACAACAATTAATTATAAAAAAAAGTGTTTTTCATTAAAATTGAATACAAATTTAAAAAATAAAAATTTTCTTAACTAATATAAACTTCGTGAAACTCTTACAGTAATTCAAAATTATATTACAATAATAAAAACATTTTTTTCTCTTAAAACGAAAAGTATTTTTTTTTTTTTAATTTTTCTTTTATGATACGGTTCTGAGTTATTTTCAAATGTGGTTTTCTGGATATGCTGTGGACTTGTCTGTGATATATTTAGATGTTTTTGTTTTTCTTTTGTTTTGTTTGTTTCTTCAACCTTTTTAATCTCAATTTAATTCAAATTCATTTTATCATATCGACTCTGCACTCTCTATGGCACTCTTATATCACTATTCAGCGATGATGGTGCCTCATCAGGGCTGGGTGAATCGTTACCATGTGGCCGTATACGCACCACCGCACGTCTTGTGTCCTCATCACGCTGTGGCATATACAAACCTGACGGGCCGGAATAACAGGTTGTATTGTTCCCGGATAAGCGTAGCTTCTCCGTTTCCCCACTTGTGCTCTCGGTGAAGAGTTGACCCAGATTTAATTGCGGTATGTCATAGAATATCGTCAGCACGAACATCATGGCGATTAGACCTGCAATGTAGAAGTTATTCATATAAAAAATTTACTAAATAGAAACAGAATTATATTATGGTAAATTTTCAACTCACCACAAACCAAATATGCGCTAATGAATATTTTATACATCGAACGATTATCAATGGTTACACCCTCGCCTGGTATATAATCGCCCAGACCGATGGTGGTTAATGAAATGAAGCAATAGTAGAAGGCGTCTAAAGCACCCCAGGTCGGTTCAATGTAAGCGAAAATAGCCGTTGGTATGGCGAATAATAAGATAATTACAAGCACGGCTGAAAAAAAAAAGATGAAGATGAAACCAAGAATTTAGCTTTATTTTAGAGATAAGGGTTTGACATTATGTTTTCGAAATGATTTTACCGAGAGGCTTAAAATTAATATGTCAGCAATAACGTGCCGAATATTCTCTACCAAGCCGTCAATCGTTTAGGGCTTATCAGCGTAGACAAGCGACTTTATATAACACCACCATAGGCCTACGACCCGGGATAATGCGTTCACTAAAAGTTTTCTGCAATAAATTGATTGTTTCGTCGACCGTGTGGAATGTAGCGCACTCTTGTTGGAACCAAAGGTCGTCCACATCAACATCCGCCAATTCAGGCACGAAACAGTCATCAACCATGGCTCTATAGCGTCTTCCATTGACTTTAACATTATGGTCGGTTTCCATTTTGAAGAAATATGGACCAATGATTCCAACTGCCCATAGAGCACACCAAGCAGAGACTTTTTGAGGATATAACGACGTCTCAAAAATGGCTTTTTACTAACGAGGAGATTCAACCAAAAGCAAAATTCACCACTGAACAATATTTGCCTGTGAAAATCGGTATCGGTGGTTATCTCGTTTAGCTTTAATTCTTGCACGAGCCGGGTTTTTCACGGCGCAAGCCAAGATTCTTCCTCAAAATCTTGCGCTCGATGGCGAATGGACGCATTCGGCTCTTATTCGATAATCTGCTCCACAACAGCAATAGCATCCGAAAAAGTACTGCCTCTACAACAACAACCTTGATATAAAATCCTCAACTACCCAATGTAGGCATATTTAGAAAAACGGATATCCTATCAACATTACCCCAACACAGACTTACCCACAATGCTTAGATGCAGTAAACGTATATTGAAAGGCTGATAGAGATGACCCAATTTGGAATTTAACGTGCCTAACAACCAGCTTGCCGGCACCAATAAACGCTCCACCATCGCACTCAATAGCACCAACGTGAGAGGGATGCCGATGGCTGCATAAATTATGCAAAATATCTTCCCCGTCTGGCTAAGTGGCGTTACATGACCATATCCTGTGTGAGGAGTAAAGAAAAAAAACGGAAATATAATAAATAGACATATATATGTATGTATTTGTATATATAAATAATAAATAAGCATAAGAAAGTCTATGTACTTTAAGACATGCCTATACTCGTAACTTCAAAAGCACTTAAAGTAGGTGTGTAATAAATAAAAATGCAAAAAAGCTATGCCACTGCAGCTATAAATGCATATGTACATATATACACACACACATGTATACACGTATAGATAAATATAGGAGCGTGCAAATGGTTTGAGACTTACCAATTGTTGTTATCACGGTGCTTGAGAAGAAGAACGCTTGACCAAAGCTCCAGTTCATTTCATTTGTAGCATTGCGTAACGGTGATATGCCGCGATCGTTAGCCGTTATCACGGCTTTCAGAAACTCTTCGAGGTCATCATCTACCGAGATTATATATATAGAATAAATTAATGAAATATGCGAATGATTAATTAATCATAAATGAAATAATTTTGTTTTTTAAATTTTGAAGTATTATATTTTTTTTAATTTTTTTTGGAAGAAAATCATAAAGAGGCACATAGCACAAATTAGAGTAGGAACGCGGTCGAAAATCGCTTAGCGTTTACAAAGCGCCAATTGTATATTATCAATTTAAATCATTATTCATACCAGAAATGCTCAACGAACGCAACGATATCATTTCGTTACGCCAACAACGAATTGAGACTGTTTCGTTTCGACGCCATGTTATCAAAAGAAAATGAACTCGTTAATGTTAATTTTAAAATGGTTGCTTGCTATGATTTAACAGCACACTACAATTTTAAAGGCTAACATTATCTGTTAACGATTTAACATAAACGACCACATTTCGTTTCAGGTAACAGCGATAAGGAATTTATTTGAATAACTGCTTTAACGTTAATATTTCCAAATGTTTCAGCCAAAACGATACACAACTTTTCGATTAATGTAAAATTTTTGCACTGCAATTTAATTACGCTTAGTTTTTGTTATTAAATTGTAATGAAAATATGGATATCAATTAAGTTGAGAGGTTTTTTTTGTTTTTTTTTTCATATTTTTAAACCTTCAATTTATACAATATGTGTGTACATACACGGTGTGTTCTAAAAATAACCGAACTTTATATTTAAATCATAGAACATACAGCGCCATCTATTGAAAATTTGCAACATTAAAAAGATGTAAAAGTGACAGCCATTTCAATAAAACCAAAAGTGTGCTAATAATTCAAAAATAAAATGGAACAAAGAGCAAATATAAAATTTCGTGTCAAACTTGAAAAAAAAAAAATTAATGAAAAAAGTTTATTGTGATGATTATATGAGTCGTACGCAAGTTTATACGTGGTTTACACGATTTAAAAATGGTCGTGAGGATTTAAATGACGACCCTAGAGCAGGACGTCCAGAAACTAGTAATTGTGCTGAACTGGTGGAAAAAGTCCGTGAAATCATTGGTATCGATGCAAATTTTCCTACGAGAATGTTGGCTGAGGAATTGAATACGAGTAAAAACACTATTTGGAGAATTTTAACTGAAGATTTGGGGAAAAGAAAGGTCTGTGCGCGATTTGTTCCACATGAATTAAATGACGACCAAAAAATCGCTCGAATTTTTAATGAAAAAAGGGATTTCTCTCGTCGACCATCTTCCGTATTCGCCTGATCTATCACCATGTGACTATTTTTTATTTCCAAAACTGAAAACCAAGATGAAGGGAGCATTTTATGATGATATCCCAGTCATTCAAGCAGCCGTAACCGAGGTACTGAAAAACATTTCTATAAATGACATAAAAAAATCTATTTCTGGTTGATCGTTCCAAACGTTGTGTTGAGTAAAATGGAACCTATTTTGAATAAATTATAACTTTCAAATATAATATAATCTGTATTTTATTTTATATCCAAAAAGTTCGGCTATTTTTGGGACACACCGTATATGTAAGTACTTTAAAAAGCAAATGTATTCCAAAATATTTTACGTTAAACGAATGGTTCACTCATGGACTTTCGACAGTAGAGTTGAGAGTTATTCTGCGTTGAATCTCAATGAGAGGTGTTATTTAGATATTCAAAGAAACTTTTACTTTAAAAGAACAATGGTTACGTCGCTTGTGTGGCGCGTAGAACCCTACTGTTGAAAGTAAACGTTATTCAGATCTATTTCATTGAATTCCGGCCATAAAAAAATCATTAATCATCTCTCGATATCGCAATCCATTCACCGAAACTGTTGCTCCAGACTCATTTTCGAAAAAGTAGCGTTCGATGATCTCGACGGACCATAAAACGAACAAAAACATGTTGAGGATGGAGAGGCTATCAACTATAAATTTTGGGTTTTCCGAGCCCCATCGGAGGTGGAAATGGGCCTAATCATATGATGTTCGTTCGGTTTTTTTTATTGATTTTTCAAAAGATGGCAACTTTGTCTACATTTGTCCGATTTAAGTAAAATATGCGCTGTTTTTTTTTTTGGTAAGCTTGTTGTCAACGAGATGCCAACTTCATTATACACTTCTCTTAGAAGGCTGCGTTCTTATTGGCAAAAAGCTCGGAGAGTAAAATTTCACAGGCCTCTCTTGAAGCCAACTTCTCAGGATTAAGCGCGTTTGCCATGGACAGGAAAATATGGTAATCACTTAGTGCCAGATGCGGACTATGAGGTAGGTGCATTAAGACCTCCCATCCGAGCTCCTGGAGCTTCTGCCGCGTCACCAAAGACGTGTGTGCCCTGGCGTTGTCCTGATGGAACACAAATCGGCCTCTTCTGGATGAGTGCTGCCTTCAAGCGGTCCATTTGTTGGCAGTAGAGGGCCGAGTTGAGCGTTTGGGGATCAGCTCGTAGTAGATGATTCCTTGCCAATCCCACCAAACACGCAGCAAAACCTTCCTGGTCTTGGCCACCGTGTGAGCCGCTTTCCCGAGCTTTGACCACGACCGCTTGCGCTCGATGTTGTCGTAGGTGACACATTTTTCATTGCCAGCCACAATCCGCTTCAGAAACGGGTCGATTTTGTTGCGAATTCAGCTGCGATTTGCAGATGGAAATTCGGTCGATCATGATTTTTGCCTCAGTTCGTGTGGCACCCAAACATCGAGCTTCTTTTTGAATCGAAGGTTATGCAAATGATTCCAAATGGTTTTTTGGTTGTTCACAGCTGTTGAGGTACGTCGTTGATATTTATATCATAACCTTTGACTGCCGCGTCGCGATTGAAAACTAAAGTGCTCTCTCTACGAACAGAGACAAAACTCTACAAGTCGCCGGAATTGTCAGGATGGTTAACAGTAATCCGGCTATGAAATTTTTTGATGCAGTACTCGCCGAAAGAAATAGAGAGGGAGGAGGACCTCTACTGCGTTAAGAGCATCAGATGGAGGAGGATCAGGCAAAACTTGGTCATTCAAATTTGTGTACTTTTGTTAAAACCGTAAAACAAAAAAAAAAAAAAAATACTTTCACTCCTTTGACTTCCGTAGGGTTCAAGGCAGCTTAACATTATTTAAATTTTATTTTTATATTCGGCGAAGTAAAAAATTCATAATGCCTAAGCGAACTATTAGTTGGATTCCAGTAAACCAATATTTCTCTTTAGGGTATTTACGGACTGTTTTTGCATTTGTATCCATGATACAAAAATTCGATAAGGTAGTTTCAATTCGAATCTTTTGACACTAACAGGCCTAATCGCACTGTTACCGGTAAAGGGAATTTTTTTACTTTTTTTTAACACCCGAAATTGAATTTGGTATTCTGTCGAACTGGTTACAATAATTGAAAAAACTTTGGCAGCACTGCTTTTTTCGTCCTTATCCAATTACATTTGCCAGTTGATAAAGTAAAAAAGAAGATAATTCACATCGAAATGGAAGACGGCGCACATAATCATAAATATTTGAAACTAATTTTGGAATCTATGCCTAAACGACAAAAAGAAGGTGAATGAAAACGTTATCTTCCAAATTTAAAGGATCATTTTTTTCTCGCAACTTCTTAACATACGCTTTTTTACACTTTTTTCTTCATCTTCAATGAATTCCAGACCTAAGACATGCTCACCCATTTTCGGTTTTTTTTTCTCAAACTATCAACACAAAATCCAAGAGTAGATTTTTTGCTACCTTCTATTTCGCTGGTAACAAAATTACAGGGTGACAGTGAACTCAGAATACGAAATAGTAACAAACTGATTGGTAAAATTTAATACCAAAGTAAATTTTGTTACCTCGACAGAATAGGCCTGTGAATGTGTTTACTTAGAATTGGTTGATGTTGCCGCTTATAGAATGTTCAACTTGGACTCTTTTGGAGTTATCTTCTAGTTAGAAGCAGTAATATTGAAAACTACGTATGGTTGCATTGAAATATTTTTTTCAAGATGTTTTTCTTAGGCGGCAGAAGTAAGAAAAACAAATTGCTTTTTGCTTTTTATTAATAATAAATTGGAAAGAATTACCATTTTATAGTTTTTTTCGAAGCCTAGTCAAGGAACAGTTATAAATATGGCAGCTCTGCACGTGACGCGGGCATTCCTTTTTCCTCCGCAAAGTATCTGTTATGACTAGCTATCCCTAGAAAGACCAACAGCGAACGGCAGAGTGAAACTACTTGCAAATGGAATACACAAGTTTGGCCACTGATTGAAGTCCACAGAACTAGGTAAATATTTACTTAATCTAAACAGCATCTAAACACATTGTCTGGGGGGGATCCCGATAGATGGATGGCTGATTTTCAAATGACTTTTGTCGCAGCTGCAGGGGCATGGATAATAAGGAATCGGAGAAGATTGCTTCAGCCACTCCCTAGATCTCAGTGCGGTCAGTTGTTCCTTTCAGGGAAACTTCTTTTTCGATTGTCTTGTCGATTATGTATCTATGGGCATCAATAAGCTGCTGAACTTATAAAAAACATTAAGTGAGTTGAGCGTCTAGAAAGGTGAGAAGAAATTCGTTCACAGCACCAAGATAGGTATCAAAACGGGCGAATGCGCTTGATCGAGCAACCTCTTTAACTAACTAACTTAGATCAACTTAAAAAACTTTTAGCGAAAAAAAAAAATTAAAAAAATTAAAAATTAATTAATTCGCATCACTCCAAAACACAAAACATTGTTGAAGCCAAATTCTGTCTGTTTGCAAAATTTTCTTTAAATATCTTCAAACCTGGCAGCCGATATCTTCCTTTGTGACACTTTCTTACAACTTACTAACTTTGTAAGACACCAACACTCCTTGAGAACCACAATCAATGGTTGGAAATACAATGTATTTCCGGCTTTACTGGCAGCAAAATATTTAAAAAATATGAAAACTCTCCACATATTTTTTTTTTCAGAGCAAGAGGGTAGCACGAAAAAGCCGAGACACGTCTAATATCAGATAACTATGATGCCGACTGCGAAGAGAGAATGTAAACTACCTTTAAATTACTGTTTCATGTTTGTATCTACGCACTCGGGACTAATCCCTCTTCTCATCCCAAAGTACTCATTAACAATGTTCGAAGGGCGGACAAATAATTTTCTAAAAATAAAATTTACCCAATAGTTGTGGATATTTTTGCAAGAAGTTGGCGCGCAGCACCCGCACAGCGCTACGCAATTCCTCCTCAACCGGCGTTTCGACAATTCGAAAGCAAACACTGCCAATTGCTAAGTAAACGCAATAGAAGAGTGCAAAGCAAAGTAAACGAATATTATGTTTGCGCACATAAAAGTATTCCCACTTCCCGGCACTAGCATTGACGTGCTTAGCGACATAATGTCCCAGGTTGGTGCTGGAGCCAACGCGTTGGAGTCTAGGAGTATTTGTAGGCAACAACACAACCGAACCAAGGCTAATGCCATGAACGAGACTCAGTGTTGATTGATTGTGAAATGCGTGAGACGGCGATGATGACATTGATTGTTGGTACGGCACGAAGGTTGAAGTTGGTCCTGCCGTTGTTTTTGAATTTGGTGGCGTTGGCGTTGAGTTTAATGCTGTATCTGAGATTGAGAAAATGCGTTTGTTCGTTTGTTGTGTGTGCTCCAGTGCTGTTTGACCCTCTGTACTGTGGTCTACATTGGAGAGACCATCGTTCAATGATTGATTACAACGATCCAGATCTTCATAGCCATTGCGGCGGCGAAAAGCTGTCGAAGGCAACATATTCATGTTCAATGGTCCGGATGTTTGTTTGTAAGTGTGTACGTGTGTGTAAGCACGTGTTACGCTAATGTGAGTAGTAAATAAAATTTAACACTTTATACGTCTTTTCTGTTATGGGTTTTCTTCACTTTATATTTGAAGTGTCAATATAAATAGCTGTAAATGTATATTTGTAAGAAAAGAGTGTTTTTTAGACGAGTGGTTTTCAATGTGGCACGGACTTTTATAGAAGTTGGGATTTTTGACTGCTGTTTCTGGATTTACACTCAATCTGGTTTACCACTTCATAACGAACAGACTTATGCCGTAACACGGTTTGAAAATCGTGAAAAATAACGGTTGGGTTTGCGAGACGACATAATCACTCACCATAGTCGGTAATTCGTTTATTCTAGTGAATAACCCGCATCCTCAGACACGCCAAAGACGCTATTGCTGCTGTGTAGCAGAGTATCGAAAAAGACTCGAAAGAGTCTATTCGTCATCGAGTGCAATAATTGGAGCTGTGCCACTTTATAGAATATATTATTTTATGGAAGGATCTTGATTTACGGGCTAAGAAAATCTAGTTCATGCAAGAATTGACGCTGAACGACCACCAAGTGCGTCGCACGTTCGGTGAATGGGAGGGAAACGAGGTGGCGACCGATCCTGTTTTGCACAATAAATTTTACTAAGTGTTGAAGTTCACAAGCCATTGTTGAGTCGCCGGTTCATTCACAAAAATCTACTGTATGGTGCGCTCATGGGTCCTCATGGGTTAAAAGTGAAACCTACCATAATATTACAGTCAATGGAGGACGCTTTAGAGATATGATTAATGACTTTTTCGTGCTTGAATTGGAGGATGTTGATCTGATGACCTTTGGAGTGAACGACCTTAGGTTCCAACAAGGCAGCGCTACTCATCCCATAGACAACGAAACAAGCAAAATAATTGAAGGAATTCTTCTTTTGAACACATTACCTCGCATCGGGGGCATGTAGCGTAACCTCAAATGTCGATTTAACACCGTTGGATTATTTTTTATGAGGTAAGTCAGCTAGCAAAAAGTAAAGGAAGTGCTCAGACGAAAATATATTATATAACAAGCCCAACGAATACCCTCCACCCGCTCAACCGACACGAGAGACGAAATCCGCATAAAGTACGAGATATGCCGGTTCATGATTGTTAAGCGTTAGTTAAACAGAAAAAATAATTATTCAACAGTTTAAATTTAATAATTATGGAGTTTTAAAATTAATTTTTGATAGAAGTAAGAATAGTTTTTTCGATGCTGAAAAGTGAGTCTGAGAGATCGAAGGTGCTAGAATGAAAATTAAAATTGTAACACAATCGGCGAAAGGCCTAAACTGCCTAGATAAACGACTTGGAACAATAAAGTTTACCTCAGATAAGAGCCATGAACTGCACATCGATTCGTTAAAAAGTTTCACTACGAACAATGCGCCTAACATTTCTCTACGACTTGCGACGAGAGTAGGTAAATTTAGAGGCTTCAAACGGCTGGTATAGGGAGGCTGATTTATCGTTGAGTTCCATCGGAAATGTCTTAATGCAAAAAGGAAAAATTGTTTTTAAATACACTCTAACTCATCGAAATGAACATGATTATTGGGGTTGCATATTATTGGGGTTCCATATCAATGAACCATATTCTAAGTCGTATAAAGTGCTTTAGTTACAAAAGAGTACTTAAATTCATTTTACCACCTTTTGACGAAGGCAAAATCACTTTTAGCTTTTAAAACAGTGGTATCGATATTAAGATGGAAGTTTAGCTTTCGGTCCATCATAACCCTCAAATCAACAAAGTACGAGTATACATATTGTTGACATAAGTCCGCAATCGTTGCAATAAATGGTGAAAAATTGGTGCTCACGACTAGAAATTATTCGAGCTAATCCAAAATGATTTTAAAAGCATAATGGCAAACCCCTTTAATTTGTAATAAAGTACCGTAAGCTCTTGAAAACCACATGTCTAAAAAACCACCTTATGTGTAGGTGGTTACTCGTCGGAGGGCGTAGAAATTTTAAACGTTTTAGACTTACATATATACATACATATATGTATGCGTATGTATATGATGTAAATAAATATCATCAATGTCACTTCACACAAACATATCGTATTAAATTTTCATTTCGTATATACGTATATACGATATGCACAATACATATAAATATGTATGCTTTATTATTATTTTCAAATCGAAAGTATAACTCGCGGTTTGTTTAATCTCGCGCAGCACTCGCTCGCGCATCAACTGAAAACTGAATTCTGAAATCAGAGATTTTGAATTTGCACTGATTACTTTAATTGCGCTCGAATAAAAGCAAAAAATTGTCGCTGAGCATTGCACTTTCTCGCGTTGAATTCAGACAATTGTATTCATTTTTCTTGCTTCTTGTTCGTAGAGCATTCAAAGATGCTTTAATTGTTTGAGTAATATTAAGCTCAATTTTTAAAACATTTAACCGACGCTTGCAAATTGAGTTTTGTTTGCTCAGCAGTTTTACATGAAGTGTAAACGGAGCTTGATGTTAGTAGAAACAAGCATTAGGCATTCACAGGTTTCAGTAAGTGCTTAGATTTGACAGTTAAACGCTTTGAACCTCAGTAAATTTTGTTACTATTTCGTATTCTGAGTTCACTGTCACCCTGTAAATTTTGTTACCAGCGAAATAGGAGGTAACGGAAAAATTCTGCTGTTTGATTTTGTGTTGTTAGTTTGAGAAAAAATAAAAACCAAAATGGGTTTTAGGCCTGGAATTCATTGAAGATGAAGAAAAAAGTGCAAAAAGGCGTATGTTAAGAAGTTGCGAGAAAAAAATGACCTTTTAAATTTGGGAGATAACGTTTTCATTCACCTTATTTTTGTCGTTTAGGCATATTTTCCAAAATTAGTTTCAAATATTTATGATTTAATAAAAAAATAAATAAAACTTTTTTATTTTATTCTGCACTGTCTTCCATTTCGATGTGAATAATCTTCTTTTTTACTTTACCAACTGGCAAATATAATTTGATAAGGACGAGAAAAGCAGTGCTGCCAAAGTTTTTCAAACATTGTAACCAGTTCGTCAGAATACCAAATTCAATTTTGGGTGTTAAAAAAAGTAACAAAAGGGTTGTTCTTTAGACATGTGGACCTCAAGCAGAAATAAAACTCATATAATTTAAGGTTAAGACCAAGAATTTAGCGTTATTATAAAGAAAAGAGTATTTAAAATGATTCCGGGCAAGTGGCTGCCACGGCTGGCTCATATTAATTCTAGCCGAAAGGCCCCTTGGATCACTTTTTACAGTAATCGGTGCTGTATAACAGCAAGAACGTATCGAATATTCTCTTCGTAGGCGTTAAACGTTTCGGACTTATCTGCGTAGATAAGCAGCTTCATATAACTCCATAAAGATTTGCCCAGCAATGTTAAATCGCATGATTATCAACATACTCCAATACAGGCACGAAAAAGTCATTAATTATGGCTCATTAGCATTCCCCATTGACTGCAACATTGTGGTCGGTTTCCTTTTTGAAGAAATATGGACCAATGATTCCAACTGCCCATAGAGCACACCAAACAGTGACTTTTTGAGTATATAACGGTAGAGTATGTTAAGCCCTACGAAATATGACATGAAATAAAAAACTCCTGATAGAAAGCCATCGGCCATTCGGAGGCGGCTTATTATAAAATGTAGGTCCTTCCAATTGTTAGAAAAAAATCAACGCGCACACCATAAATTAGGGTGGGAAAAACGTTGCAGCGATTACGAAGAGCCAATTATTATTTTTGTTACTGCGTCCCAACAATGGCTTGTGGATTATCATCGTCGAACAAAAGTTTCTTGTGAAAATCAGGATCAATGACCAATTCTTGCTTGAGTTGGAAGCCCAAAAACTGAGATCCTTTCGCAAAATCTTACATAACGGAGACGGTCATAGCTGCACCTAATTCGGGTCTTTTTCGATACTCTGTACAACAGCTGCAATAGAGTCTTCGGTGTGCGCTGAGGATGCGTATTATTGATGAGTGCATAAGTTCGTGCCCGATTCCGCTGGATGCCGTTCGATTCGTTTGAGAGTGGCGCTCGTGAAAGAAATATATACATATTATATACCGTTGGAAAGGTGACAGTCCGAACTGTAAATCAAGCATAAAATAATTTCATTTTGATTTGAGTCATATTATGTTATACGAATTACGCAAAGGATAAAGATATTTCGAGCATAATGTGTGAAAGAACAAAGCCCACCGTCAACAAACTGATTGGGCCTTAACAGCGTGACTTCAGATCTAAATCTACCATTGACAAGATATTCACCATGCGCTAAAACTTGAAAAAGACTCATGAGAAGTAATAATCGATACACACCACCATTTCATTATTTTTAAAGCTGCCTTCGACGACACAGTAAGCAGCTGCCTATACGACGCTAGGCAGTGTCTATTTCGGGTGCGTAAAATGTCGTTAAGCAACACCAAAAGCTACTTCGGGATCCGAGGGACTTCTACGAGCCGTTCGCCACCAAACGTAGTTAAGTTTCAGACAAGATGACCCTTATACCGTGACTTCTTCAATTTATAAGTGAACCTGCAGAGCGAAATAGGAAAGATAAAATCTTCTATATGAGTGCCCAGCCGCTCCCACATCGCTTTTGATAGTTATTATTGTGAAGTCGTAGATAATATCAGCGATGGTAGAACGTTGAGCTGTGACATTGACATAGTTTAGCGGCGGAAGATGGTTACGCTGGCTGTGTCATGCCGTCCGAAAGGATGGAAGTACTCCAATTCGATGCCGTACTCGCCCCGGGAAGTGGAAGACCATACACTCCATTTCGAGTATCTGGTGAAGAAGAACCACGCTGAACTTGGTGTTTTAAATGGGCGCCAAATAGCGAAAATAGCGAACAAATAGCGCGATGTTGAAATCGCGCAAGCGGTGCCTACGACAGTAAAGAAGAAGAAGGAGGACAATAGCAACCAATCATTGAGTAGTGCATATACCAAAATAGTTCAAATTCTTTGACTTTCGCTTTTACATACAATGTAGAAAGGGACTAAATTTATTTAAATGTGCGGATTTGTATGGTTTTTTTTTATCAGAATACAACTAGGTCCCTGGCTGTTGGTGTACTGTGCAAACTCATACTTACTTAGGAGGCAGATTGAAATGAGCAAAAGATTCGA